CACCGCCTCCGGCCTCCCACCTGCTGCTGCTGAGGCTGCTCCTGCAGCAGGGGCCATCTTGTTGGTCTGCCTCCTCTTCCTCCTCCTCGTCCTCCGCCGCCCAGTCGCTCGTTGTCCTCGTCCCCTTCCTCTTCCTCAGGCTCCGGCCCGCCCCGGAGACTGGGGCGGAGACGAGGGCGAGGATCCTCCCTCAGAAGGCGGGGCGGGCGGAGGGGCGGGGCGGGCGCGGGAGCAAAGCTCTGAGTCACCGGCCACCAACGCCCGGGAGGGAGGCCGGCGACGCTCTCCGCCGCGACCCAAAGTCTCACACTCCCTGAGCAGAGGAACCGGTCCCTCCGTCCGGCCTGCCCTCCCGCACCGGAGCCTTTGGGCTCAGCGGGCCAGTGGCCAGATGGCGAGAGTAAATTGGAGGAATTTCTGTCGTTTCCATCGAACCCCGCAATACGTCTACTCTTTTGGCTTTCTCAGCCGTTGTCCCCCAACTCTGGTTTCTTTTTCACGTCTTGTCCCCCACCCTATTTGTCTTCTTCCATATTATCCAGGTTCTGGATCTCATCAGCTTTGTCCTCGTCACCCCTCTTGGAGTTCAGCCTCCTAAGGCTGTGAAACAGCCCAAAGGCCCGGACACGCTACTCCAAAACGTCTCTCCTGGGCTGTGTGAACAATAAGAGCTATTTGGGGACAACAGGAAAAGATGTGGCTCGTCGAAGAGCTCCTGAAATTTAACCTTGCTACTCTTTAAAAGTTTCTTGTTCCTTGTGGAAAAGGTGCCGTTTTGGTTTTGGGGAATGAGAGGTCCCTTCAGACAATTCATTTTAGCCAAACCCTCTTTAGCTTTTGAGAGGGGGAAGAGATGGGATTATTGTAACACCATACAGTACTGATTTCAAAATAAATCATCTAGAAGAGAAGAGAGAGAGAGAGTCTCCAAATAAACAACCATTTAATACTCTCTACTCGGCAGCATCACCTTTTTTGCTTCAGGACTTGACCAAGAGAGCAGAGATTATGTTTTTCTGTCCTTTCTTCACTGTTTACATCACAGTACCCCAAGAGAAGCACTTCTGCCTTTAACTTGATACATTGGAATCGCTATCACAGATAGTATTTTTGTATTATTTTAAAGAAATATCACACACCTTCCTAAACTCTTGGCAGAGAAGAATTCTTTTTAGTTGTTAACACCCTCCTGCTCCTGAAATCTCAGCTTCTGTTTAGAAGACCTATTGATGTCTTTCTATTGATTGGAATTTGCTGCCTTTGAACTGGGTTTAATCTGTAATCGTCTTTTCAGCCTACTAAATAGTAACCCTAGTCCTACAGAGAGTGAATTTCTAGCTACCACAGGGGGATTTAGGTTAGCATGTGCCAATCTAAAGGGATCTCTTAAAGCCTTTCCCTCCTCAAACCAGGCCTCTGTACCCTGCTAGGAAAAACAGATTAATCTGCTCCTCCTGCTTTTCCTCCTCCTCCCTTCTTCTCACTCCTAGGGAACCTTCCACAACAGAAGGTTTTAGCGACTGTTGCTAGGCAAACATGCCAACTTCCTTGTTTAGGTGAAGCAAGTAACTCAACTTCCATTACAAGCAACCTAGATAATGTAATTTCTTCCCCCCCACCCCACCCCCCAGACGGAGTCTTACTTTGTAGCCCAGGCTGGAGTGCAGTGG